TGAAAGTTCATAATACTAATACTAAAAAACTAACGAAGAAATATTTTGTTACACCGTTTCCTTTCTTAGAGAAAAAAGGGGGCACCATAAAAAATCTGCATATATGGATTTACATTATGACATTAATTAGATTTGTTAATCAACTTATATCGAATACCTCAATAATGCTGGTCAATTCTGAACCCTACGTAAGATTTATTTTCCTGATGAGGAAAAGATTCAAATTTACAGCAGATTTCTTTCATTTTTGAAAATGGTTGAATGTAATTAATTAAGAGACATCTTAATGAAAAAGACTGCAGATACAAATCCGAAGGCAATCAACCTATTACTATAATAATAATAATAATAACTCAATTTTCGGTGGGTCTGTTCTTTAAAAAAAACAAGTTCTTTATTCAAGAATGTCATTTTAGCCAATAATTCAAGAAATTTGTCAATTAGCAACGAATAATAATATTGTAAAGATAGGATGAGATTCAAATCATCATCATGGAATTGGTGGTATTCATAAAAAAAATTTTTGTTATTAAAAAATAACACCAGTAATAAGTAATGCAAATGTCTCTATTAAACATTAATTAACAAAAAATTGTATTATTGAAATTTCTTTATCACTTTATTATTATTCAAATACTTCTGAGAAACGTTTAAGGATACCAGCCGCAACTTTTGACAACGTGTCCTTGGAAACATTCATATATAGAATCTGTTTCTGGAGTCACGTGTATATAATCATTTACATTCAAGTGAAAATACATGTATACATATGCATATATGAAAAAATAAAATTTTTTAACTCATACACTCATACGTAATAAACTAATTAATTTCTCACGAATTAATAATTAATACTTAAGATTATGAATTCTGTATCGGACGGAGTTCAAATATAATAATTCAAACAGGGCTGATTTTCCATTCCTAAAGTAAACTTAACGTGAGATAAATAATAAGATTATCAATTTTACTTGTATTACAAAGTTTTTTTTTAAAATTAAAATTTCTACTTGAAAAATATTTTTTTAAAATGGCATTACCCATATTACCCATAAAATATGCTATTGAACTACCAAACACAAAAAAACCAGGACAAACCGGCATTTATCGTAATATTAATTCTCAAGAAAAAATCACGGATGTTCCTAGGTATGGTAAAAAATGAGATTTTTTTATTAATTCAAAATTTTCATTTTTTTTTCATTCCCATTTTTCATTCGCTTATATAGTACAGGAGTAAGAACTTTATATGAAAACTTTGAGTACGGTAAAGTAAAATAAATTTTTTTCTTAATTTTAATAAATTTCCTTTTTTTTTTTTAAAAAAAACTTTGATAATTTATTCATTTTATATTTAGCACTTAAAACTTATGGTGATAACAATTGTATTGGACATAGACCATATAATAAATTAAATAGAAAGTATGGATTATATGAATGGCAAACTTATAAGCAAGTTGGTGAACGTCGTTCAAATTTTGGATCTGGACTTTTACATTTAAGCGAAACAGTAAATAAAAAAAAATAATATTATATAATTATTCTAATGAATTATGAATCGTATTTTATTAAGAAATAAACTTTACTAGGTCGTAAAGAATAATAAAAATCAACAATGGACTGTCGGTATTTATTCTATAAACAGACCCGGTAATTATAATATCTACAATAAATAGATTTCTGAAATAAATTAATTTTTAATAAATATATATATTAATTTACATAATAAATTTTTTTATGCTATTTCATCAAGAATGGTTCATTACCGACCAGGTAATTAATTAATATAATTAACGGTTATAACCATAAATATTATACTGCTATTAAATCAATAATATATATATTACTAGGCCGTTGTTTCTTATAATCTTATCACTGTTGCGTTGTATGATACGCTTGGACCGGGTATATTGAATTAATTATATATAATAAAGTAACTAATTCTTAATTATTATTCATTTTTATTAACCAATTTTTTTTTTAATTAATGATCATAATAAAGATTCTGTCGAATATGTGATAAATCATGCCGAGATTCCTATTATTGTTGCAACAGCAAATCTAATACCTAGTTTGATTCAATTAGCATCAAAAATTCCCGTATTGAAAGTTATTGTTTCGATGGATGATTTGGAAGAAGATGCACCAGTTCCTATTGGTGGCACGACAACAGGAAAAATATTGAAAGCATGGGCAGCAGACCAGGGTATATTACTGGTTGATTTTAAAGAAGTTGAAAAGATTGGAAGAAAACATAGGAGAGATCATACCCCTCCTTCACCTCAAGATATTGCTTGTATTTGTTATACTTCTGGTACTACTGGTCTACCCAAGGGCGTTTTACTCACTCATGCAGGTTTTATTGGTGCAATTTCTTCATGTCAATATTGTTGGTCAGGAACCTCTGATGATGTATGTGATTTTTTAAAAAAAAAACAAATAAAGCAAATCGAATATATAATTAAATGTTTTAATGTTTTAACGCTTTCTCAAATAAAACTCTAGGTGCTCATTTCCTATTTACCGGTATTGTATAACAAATGTGTATATATTATTTTTTTAATTAAAAAAATAGTATTACTAACTTTTTAAAATATATATATATATAGCTTGCACATATTATGGGAAGACTTATAGAAATAATGATTGTTTTATTTTGTGGAAGTATTGGATACTTTAGAGGAGATGTGTTCACACTTGTCGAAGATATGACTTTACTCAAACCAACAATATTTGTATCAGTACCCAGATTACTTACACGTATTTATGCCAAACTTCGAATGAATACGGTGGATGCAACCGGAATCAAAGGAACCTTATCAAGAAAAGCTGTTGCTGCAAAACTCTATAATCTTGAAAATTTTGGAAGCGTTACTCATCCATTATGGGACACAATTCTGTTTAATAAAATCAAAGCAATAATAGGTGGTCGCGTAAGATTAATTCTGACAGGCTCAGCTCCTATATCTCCAGAAATTCTACAGTTTTTAAGGATTGCTTTTGCTTGTGATATTGGCGAAGGTTTGAAAAATATCACATTGAATGATGTATTTTTTCATTAAAATAAAGAATTATTTTATTTATATCAACTAAATTATTTAATAGGTTACGGTCAGACTGAAGGAATTGCAATGGCTACTTTGACTACCAAAGGAGAAAACAAAGCAGGGCATGTTGGTGGACCTGTAAGTTGGTAAGATAACCAATTGATTAATAAAATTTTTTTCGCATATTTATTTAGTTATAAAACACATCTGCATGCGCATTTTTCCTGATTATATATAGTGTAGAGATAAAACTTGTAGATGTTCCAGAGATGGATTATTTATCGACTGATAAACCTTATCCACGCGGAGAACTTTGTTCCCGTGGCACAAGTTCATTTGTCGGTTATTATAAAGATGAAGCCAAAACCAAGGAAGCTATTGATCAAGAAGGGTGGGTTCATACAGGTGATATAGCTTCGATAGATGAAAGAGGTGCTGTTTCCATTATTGACAGAAAGAAAAATTTATTTAAACTTTCTCAAGGAGAATATGTTGCACCCGAAAAGGTTTTAGCATTTGAATTTATTTGTTTATTTATATTTATAAAAATAATTTTTATTTACAAAATATTTACATATAAAATAGATTGAAAATGTTTACCTTAATTGCAATATGATTTTACAAATATATGTTCATGGAGATTCGTTGCGTGATTATTTAATTGCAATAATAGTCCCAGATCCTGAGACTTTTATACCATGGGCAAATCAAATAACTGGCGAAAATATTTCAGTGGGCGATGATAAAGGATTAGAACGTCTTATAAATTATTCAAGCGTAAATAAAGCGTTTTTAAAAGAAATGCATAAACTTGGAACACATTTTCGTCTTCGAGGGTTAGTAAATATGCTTTTTGGGGAGTGTCGTTATAAAAAATATTTATAATTATAAAATTTTTTTTTGTTTAGATTTGAAAATGTTAAAGCAATTCATCTTGAACGTGTTCCATTTTCAGTTGAAAATAACCTTTTAACACCAACGTAAGTGTGATTTTTCAATTATTCAATAATAATCAAAAAATGATTATTACTAAAACCAAATTATTGTCACTCTGTACAGATTAAAACTTAGACGTCATGAAGCCAAATTATATTTTCGTAAAACTATTGAAGAATTATACAACAAAGGTCTTCCAAATGTTCAAACAGATATTAACTCAAAATTATAATTTTTGAAATTAACTAACGAAAAACCACACACACACACGCATATATATGGATATTATTTTTTTATTTATTAAAAAATATTTTTATGAATAATATGCAAGATCGAAATAAAATAATAATTTAATAATAATAATATAATATAATAAAGAATTTATTTATTCGATGTTAATCTTTTTACTTTCATGTGCGACTTTAGGTACAGTGACTGATAAAATGCCATCTTTATAACTTGCTTTTATTTTTTCAGGATCAACTCTACCAGGAAATTGAAAATATCTTTGAAAAGATCCAACGGCTCTTTCATTTAACAATTGTCCACTTGAAGTTCCATTAGTTGATTCAACAATATCGGTGGTACTTGATTCATCACCACCACCACCAGTACCCTCTTCACTTTTAGTAGTATCGATAGTTCTTAATCCTTCTCCATTACCAGCACCGCTACCTCTTTCAACTTTCCCTTTTAGGATCAATGTACGATCATCCAAAAATTCGACCGATAAATCTTCCTTTTTTACACCAGGTACTTCTGCCTCTACCACATAACTTTTATCAGTTTCGGCTAAATCAACAGAAGGACGAAAGAAACTCGTATTGTTAATTAAAGATGAAGGAAGTGTGGGAAATCTACGAGCTGCTGTAAAGAATGGTTCATCAAACATTGCGAATGCTCGATTAAGATCATGTGCGATACGATTAATAATTGACATTTTTTTATAATATATAATTATTATTTTTGTCTAGTTGTTATAATAAAAAACAATTGATTTTTTTTTTTGAAAAAGAATTCAGTGTTTAAATATGTATTTTTCTTGAAACCTAGACATTTAGAAATTACTGGAAATCACGATTTTATATAATCATTCCATTATTTTATTTTTTCGAGATCTTTCGAGATAATTTTTAATTATAAACAAATTCATTCCAAAAATGTAAATTAGTTGTCGTCATAAGATTTGCCACACCCCGTCAGGTTCATCATCTTTCATCATGTTATTAATACGGGAGGGAATTTTTAAATTGAGAGAAAAAAAATAGTAAAAGGTTTGCAATCTAATAAATAAACGGTGTTTCGGGTTGTGGCGTGTCTTTAGATAAGCCACATCATATGACAACAAAATAGTGCACACAATATTATGAATTTGATTGGTTTGGATGTGTTAGAACAGCACCTAAAAATTTGAACTGGTCCGGTCCTTAAGAACAGGTCTTTAGGCCCGGATCAATGGACTTTCCCCCTAGTTATCATCCAAGAGAAGATTCTGACAACGATTATTTACCAGCAAGCGATTCTGACTCTGATATACGTTCTCCAAAACGCCTTCGTATAGACATACTTGAACGTGAAACGAATATGAGAATTGGACAAATTGGAAATGGAGTAGGAGAAGAAAGTACAACAAATGGAAGATCTTCAACTACTACCAATGGCAATCTACAATCTTCAACTAATGGTCAATTTTCAACTAATAATGGTTTGCAAGGGATTCGAAGACGTGAGATCGTCAGGTTAATGGTGCAAGCAATGCAAAGCATGGGTTATAAGTATGTTGACTTTCTTTTGAATTTTTTATAAACTACTATGAGTTATTGAAATCCTTCTAATTTTATTAAAACTTCAAATGTTGCTTTAGTCAAGCCGCTACAACCTTAGAAAATGAGTCTGGCTTCCCTCTCGAAAGTAAAGATGTTGCAAGATTTAAAGATGGTGTTTTAAAGGGCGACTGGACATTGGTAGAAAGTCTTCTTCCAACTTTGGAATTGGATAATAGTAAAGATGCCGTGGTAATTAAATAATTAATAATATATAACGATTATGATTTGTTAATTAATAACAAAAATTATTATCATAATTATCAATTTTTGTTTATAGAATTTTTCATAATAATAACAAAGAATTATTTTGATTAAAATGTTTCTTTTAGATTGTAAAATTTTTGATTCGAGAACAAAAATTTTTGGAATTATTAGAATCTAGTCAATTAAAAATGGCCCTATTTGTATTAAGAACTGAACTTACACCGCTTGATTTTAATTTGGATCGAGTTCATGTTTTATCTAGGTGTGTGTAGCTGATATTAATCTATTATTTTATTCTTTTCTGAAAAAAAAATTTTTCAAGAAACACATTTATTCAATTTTGAAATATAGTTACATTATGTATTCAAATGCTGAAGATTTAAGATTTCATTCTGAATGGGATGGTGCTAAAGGAACATCACGCCAAAAATTATTGCTGGAACTTCAAAGTATACATTAATCATAATTAATAAATTAAAAAAACTTTTTTATAGATATAGAGAGGAGATTATTTAAAAAGATATCCATCTTTACTCGCCCTATATATAATTTTTTTTTAATATAATAAGGATATATTTCACCTTCAATTATGGTTCCTGAACATCGTTTAGAAACACTGCTAGAACAATCTATAACTCTGCAGCGTATATCATGTCTTTATCATAATACAGATCAATATATATCTTTATATTCTGACCACGCTTGTGATAGGCTAGTAATATTTATTTATTTATTATTTCCTTAATTGATTAGCTTTTATTTTATTTTATTTTTATTTTTATTTTATCTAGATCACAATTTCCTTCAGTTACAACTCATATTTTCAATCGTCATACTGATGAAGTTTGGTATGTAGCATTTTCAAACAATGGAAGATTTTTGGCTTCAGCATCAAGAGATAAAACTGCTATCATATGGAGTCTTGAGGTAATAATTATATATATCATAAATTAGTATAGGTATTATTGAAAAAACTTTATTATTAAATATTACGTTATTTTGTTGTTTAAAACATTGATAGACTTTGGATGTTGTTCATACTCTAAGAGAACATACAGACTGTGTTTCATTTTTATCTTGGTCTCCGGATGATTCAAATTTATTAACTTGTGGACAAGATAATAAATTAAAACTTTGGAATGTTGAGGTATTTATATATATATATTTTATTTTTCAAAGATATATTAATTAATTGAATTTATTATTATTATTATATTTCTATTAATTAATATGACATTTAAATAAATAAATCTTCTTTAAATAGTCTGGTAAATGTCTTAAAACAATGCACAAACATGTTGATCCTGTAACCACATGTGCATGGCTACCAGATGGTAAAAGTTTTATATCTGGTAGTCAAGATAAAAATACTTATTTATGGGTAATTTAATTAAAAAGAAAAAATTTAAAACAATAGCAATATAATATTTAATTAATTAATAATATATATATGTAGAATTTGGATGGAACAGTTTTGTATGGATGGAGTGGAGTTAGAATAATGGATTTAGTAATAAATAAAGATGGAACAAGAATGGCTGCAATATGTCATGACAAGAAAATCCACATATATGACCTTATTTCAAAGAAAGAAGAAGCGTATGCAAAAAAAATTTTTATATTATGAAAAAATATATTTTCTCTAATAATAATATTTATATTTAGAACCATGGATGAAAGTGCCAATGTTACTTCTATTTGTTTATCAAATGATTGTAGATATGCATTAGTTAACCTCTCAACTGAAGTAAAAAATAAATGTCTTTATATTTCAAATTCATCTTTATCTTCATAACACATAACTTATTTAATTTCCTTGCTAACCAAACTTTTTTATATCAAAAAATAAAATGAAAGAAAATTCACTTATGGGATATTGAAGAAAGACGATTGGTTAAAAAGTATTATGGACAAAAACAAGGCAAATTTGTTATCAGATCTTGTTTTGGAGGAATAGATCAAGGATTTATTGTTAGTGGAAGTGAAGGTTTTGTATATATTAATTATTTTTTGATATTATTGTTATTTTTTATTTTAGATTGATCATAATTTTTGTTCAAATTTCATTTACCAGACTCAAAAATATATGTTTGGCATCGAGAACATGCTACATTAATAGAAGCACTGCCAGGTCATAAGGGAACTGTGAACAGTGTCAATTGGAGTCCAGTAAATTCTTACATGTTTGCTTCAGCTGGAGATGATCATACTATTAGAATGTAAAAGTTTTTTTTTTATAGATTGGTTATTTATTTATTTATATCATGATGATTAATTAATATGAAATAAAATAGATGGGGTATCCCAAATGCTGCAGGCTAAAGGGAAAGCGAAGACACCATGACTTTTTATTTATTTTTTATTTATGTATATATTTATATTCACAATTACCCACGTATATAAAAAACTATTAATAATATTCTCATCATTTTTGCTTTGAGGAACTGATTGATTATTAAAACTGAATAAATTAAAGCAACAAATAGATTATTATTATAGTATTAAAATTTTTTCTCTCCCTTTTAAATAAATCACAATTATTTTTTGTAGTTTTTTTTTTAATCTACTTTTTAATTATTAATTAAATATTTTTAATATATATAAAAACAAAAAGTGTCCGTGAAATCATTAACTTACCATATTTCATATTTAAAAACTTGTAGCGAAGTCTTTTTCAACAATGGAAATGATTTTCAAATTACATTTGTGCAGATACTTTGACGCTAACAAAAATTTTAATACTGACCAAGTTAGAAATCAGTAATATTTTTGAATTCGTTTAAATTATTTAATACTTTGTATGAATTTTTAAAAAATAAAATATTTTAAAAAGAGTATCTTAAAAAACAGTTAAATTATTTCATACTTGCGATTTTTTAAAAAATTAAATATTTCGAATTCATCAAAAAAAAAAAAGCATCCGTGAACCTGTTAAAGTTAATGATCCGTCTATGAATCAGATTTGTTACACGATAATAAATAAATATTATTTTTCATTTTTATTACCAAACACCATAATCACAATAACAACGACGAAGATAACAACAAAGGCGACAACAACAACAACAACAAAACAACAACAATGCAAGTTGAACTTTAAAAGTAAAAAAAATATCAGCTGGCACAATTTCAAATTATTTCACATTTGTGTGGCCAATTGCTGAGCAAAAAGGAATTGTATAAGCTAATACCTAATTGTGGACCACCAAAAATATATACAATTCTTGATATTAACAAACTTCTCAAGAACAATAATATTAATCAACAAAATGCTCGATCAATATGGAAAATAAATGTACCTTCGGAAATTAACCCTTCAACTCGGTACCTGTAGTAAGATCCCAACTAAAAGAAAGATTTGGAATTAGACCAATATACATTACACTATTATTGATGAAAAATTAATACCTGCTTTAAAAAAAATGATGGTAAAAGACTTGATTTTAAATGTAATAGAAATGTTCTTAGCTGGTAATATAGAAAAATGTAATAAATTTTTTCAAAAGACATGCTGAAAATAATAATATAGGGATCTGATAGTATCCCTTCTCTCTAACAAATCAAATCATGTGTATTTAGATTTAATCAACCTGCAAAAAAAACAAGCAGCTAAAAATGCTAATACTAATAATGCAAAAATAATATTATTATTTCACATGAATGTTTTTAATAATAATAAAATTTAAGTAGAGAAGTCCATTAAACCTTTACCTCCAAGAATATTTATTATCCACTCTCTATAATAATAACGAATCTTTTTGTAACTGATCTTGCTCTATAATGGACTGTCCCATATTAATATTAATATATTAATGTAATAATAAATCATTACTGTCTGTGACGGATTCTCTATAATGGACATTTCCCCTAATTATAATACTAATATTAAGCCAAAGGGTCCATTATAGAAAGAGTGAACTGTATATATATAGAAAAAAGAATTTTTATTATTGTAAATGCAATTAAGATTCAATAATAATAAAACTATTTGCTATTATTATTATGGAAAATATTATATACAGAAAGGTTCTTTTTATGGAATATACAGAACCTTACCAAAAATAGCAATTCATTCTATAAAAAAGGAAACTAAATTGTAGCTCAAAATTTTTGTAAAACCAATGTGACATTTATCACAGACGTGATGATTAAATTTGTGGGCTGGGGGTGGCAGGAATTACAAACTCTAAGAATTAATCCTTATTTGTCACATAGGTTCTGTATATTTCATAAAAAGAACCTTTCTGTATATAATATTACCCCTATTATTATTTTCTCTTGGTAAAAACGAATATTACACAAAAAAATTCTATATTAATATAATAATAACAATCCACGAGTGCTAAAGAGTAAACTTTTTTCTTTATTTAAGTAAAGGCAAAATAAAATATATTCTTAGATATGTTGCTAAAAAAATTTTACGTAATATAGTACAACTTTTCATGCAAAGGTACTCTATTGGTCATTTTTGTGTCAATTTTCCTCCACTATTGTAAGATGCTCTGATTTATTCACAGATCGTTTTGAATTTGTTAAAAAAAAAAAAAAGTATCTAAAACTGTTAAGTTATTTATATGAATTTATTAAATACATGAACATTTTAGTGTCAAAGTTTACACATTCAAGGAATATTACACAGTAAGTCTCGGTATAGCGGACCTCGGTATAGCGGATGTCTAATAAAACTCTTGGTTTAACGGATCAAAGCTCAGAACCGTCTATAAGTAAATTCTCTCGGTTTAACGGATTTACTAATTAAATCTTGAATTAATCTCGGTATAACGGATTTTTGAAATTTTTGTTCTAATTGCCCAAATTATCCGCTATACCGAGACTCACTGTGTATTTGTGAACTATTAAATTATTTCGTATGAATTTCGTTAACAATTATTCCTAATTTTCTAAAAAAAAACTTCAATCAACAATTACATTAATTGACAAAAAAATAGTACCTTCCAGAATTGACTCTGTTCTTTACATACATGAATACAGTGAAATTCCAAAAAAAGACTTTTTTGTAACTGCCATAGGAATCTGTAGGCCAACATTCAGAGATGCAAAGTTGTTTTCCACCTCACTGGCTTTTATCCAAAAGATGAAACAACAATAAATTTGTAATGATTTGCTGCACAAGATGTAATTAAAATAAATGAGAAGTTTACAATAATTGAAAAGGAAGAAAGTTTATTGATACAGGTAATTTTGACTTTGACACAATGTAATTATATTTCAATACAGGTGACGAAGTCACCTGACAATCAAGATTTCTAGTTAAATAAATTCAAAACATTCGCATATAGTTAGAAAATTCATATTCATACATGTTTAGGAATAGTTTTCACATTGCACATACCATGAAAATTGATTAGTCACAAGAGAAGGGATTTCAATCCTTAATCACGTGTTTTCTGGTCCTTTCCTTACTAAAAAAATGCTGATGGATAGACACTAAATGAGGACCCCGAACAATATTATATTTGGGGTTTAATAGTCAATCTCCCACTTTTTTTGGTTTGGATATCAATTTGTGAAGGTTACTCATCAAGTTTTGGGACCATTTTCAAAAGTTCAGAGGGCCTAACTAAACAAAAATAATTCGGTTATAAGGAACAACTTTACAGGAAAAATGCAGTACATAATTATGTTATTTCAACTTAGAATGCATTTGCTTCATCATTCAAGATTTCATAGCATCCTGATGTGTGTAATGTATTTGCCACATCATTTGAACAATCATTTTGAGTGATATGAAACTAGGACATTTTGTCACTTTGAGGCACCATGTAAACCAGATACATAATGCCATAATATGTGCTTGTAGAATACATTTTTCATGTATATAAACCAATGGTGAGGGCGATTCCTGAACTGAACATATAATTCCCTAGCTTACTTGTTGTCATGTATGCTTGTAGAATATGTTTTGTGTATAATGAAGTCCAATGGTGAAGGCAAGTGATGAAAATGAGTAGAGTGTCTAAGAAAACTGGATAGTAATCCATTTATCTTTCAAGACCTTTGGTCAAAAAAGGGGGCCAAGCATGCTAATAGCAAGATATGATCACTTACCTTGATCTTACCAAAGTATATATCCATCCTAGTAAATAATTAGGATTGCTGTTATATAAAAAAAGATTCCTTTATACCTGCTATATATCTGTCCTATTTGTCCTAGTAAAAAGTATAAGTCTAGGAAAAAAATTTGAAATCTCATTTTGTCATGACATCTATATTTGTATACATATACAGTATGTCCTGATATGCCTATAATTGTAGTAGTAAAAAGGCAAGAAAGACTGAAATTTACCTGGACAACTTAGATAACTGAGACAAGTTAGTCTAATGCTAAAATTCTTTTTTTTGGCTTAATTTTTCATGTATATATATATTTTTCTTCCATCTTAGTAAAAAGCTAAGATGTCATCACAAAAACTAGGATGCATCTTTCTCAATTTTTTCAAGTCCATTTTTGGCCAGCTTTTTTTTCTTTAATAATGATCTCAAAACCAATACTTACCTGCGTGACTTCTACACATGTCATATGTAGAAGAAGTTAACTTACTACATTCTTTACAAGGGAAGCATGAAGGGGATTTCCAATGAACTGTGCATCTTTCTGGTCAATAGCAGCCCTGGTTGCAGGCTTCACCAATTCTAAGAATATATGGATAATGATAAAATCCCATACCTATGTGATATTTCTTTGATAATTGTATATCTAGCACCAGAAGGATTAAATTTCATTTTAAACTTGTTTCTATCCATAGATATACCTTTGGAGTAAGCTTGCTTGTTGAAACTGTTTAGTCTGATGCTGAAAGGTAAAACCTACTACATAATGCTGAAATTCCAAAACTATCAAAATGCCAAAATTATAGTTTTGGCATCATTTTTCATGATTTAACTATAGTTTCAGCTGGGGTTTCTATTCAAATAAGGTTTATTCAAAATATTTGTTTATTCATTATTATTATGAATTCAAGTATTCAAATTACATCAGAAGTTTATTTGAATAAACAAATAATCATGAATAAAACAAATAAAATGGATAAAATGAGTAGTTCTAATAGGGTGTATTATGAATAATTCAAATAAGAATTTGTATTGCGAGAAACTCTAGGCTAAATAATCATTAAAATACAGTCAAACCTTGTCACAGCGGATTTCTTGTTATAACAGATTTAAATATGGCCCTTTTTTTACAGATTTTATTAATAAATTTGTTCCACAACATTAATGAATTTTTGATGGGGTCTTTCTATATGGCTACTAGTCTCATCACAGTGGATTCACATGACATAGAAATTATGAAATTTATCCAA